TTTATTGTTGAGTCTCTGCCGGGTTTTGGTATCAGGATGATGTTGGTCTCATAAAATGATTTGGGAAGGATTCCCTCTTTTTGGATTCTTTGGAAGAGTTTCAGAAGGGGTGGTACCAGCTCCTCTTTGTATGTCTGGTAGAATTTGGATGTGAACCTGTTTGGACCTGGGGTGTTTTTGGTTGGTAGGCTATTAATTGCTGCCTCAACTTCAGCCCTTGTTATTGGTCTATTCAGGGTTTCGGCTTCTTCCTGGTTTAGGCTTGGGAGGATACAAATGTCCAGGAATTTATCCATTTCTTTCAGGTTTGCTGGTTTATGTGCATAGAGTTGTTTTCAGTAATCTCTGATGGTAGTTTGTATTTCTGTGGAATTGTTGGTGATATCCCCTTTATCATTTTTTATTGCATCTATTTGATTCTTCTCTCTTTTCTTTTTTATTAATCTGGCTTGTGGTCTGTCTATTTTGTTGATCTCTTCAAAAAACCAGGTCCTGGATTTATTGATTTTTTGAAGGGTTTTTTGGTTCTCTATCTCCTTTAGCTCTGCTGTGATCTTAGTTATTTCTTGCCTTCTTCTGGCTTTTGAGTTTTTTTGATCTTGTCCCTCTAGCTCTTTCATTCTGATGATAGGGTACCTATTTTAGATCTTTCCTTGCTTCTCATGTGGGCATTTATTGCTATAAATTTTCCTCTGGACACTGCTTTAAATGTGTCCCAGAGATTCCTGTACATTGTGTCTTCATTCTTGTTGGTTTTGGAGAACATCTTTATTTCTGCCTTCATTTCATTGTTTAGTCAGTCAACATTCAAGAGCCAGTTGTTCAGTTTCCATGAAGTTGTGCAGCTCTGAGTTAGTTCTTAATCCTGAGTTCTAATTTGATTGCATTGTGGTCTGAGAGGCTGTTTGTTATGATTTCCATTCTTTTGTATATGCTGAGGAGTGATTTACTTCCAGTTATGTGGTCAATTTTAGAGTAAGTGCAATGCGGTGCTGGGAAGAATGTATATTCTGTGGATTTGGGATGGAGAGTTCTGTAGATGTCTATTAGGTTTGCTTGGGCCAGATAGGAGTTCATGTCATGGATATCCTTGTTAATTTTCTGTCTTCTTGATCTGTCTAATATTGACAGTGGAATGTCAAAGTCTCCCACTATTATTGTGTGGAAGTCTAAGTCTCTTTGTAGGTCATTAAGAACTTGCTTTATGTAACTGGGTGCTCCTGTATTGGGTGTGTATATATTTAGGATCGTTAGCTCTTCTTGTTGCACTGATTTTACCATTATGTAATTTTCTCCTTTATCTCTTTTGATCTTTGTTGGTTTAAAGTCTATTTTATCAGAGACTAGGATTGCAACTCCTTTCTTTTTTGCTCTCCATTTGCTTGGTAAATCTTCCTCCATGCCTTTATTTTGAGTCTATGCGTGTCCTTGCATGTGAGACGTGTTTCCTGGATACAGCATACTGATGGGTTTTGACTTTTTATCCAATTTGCCAGTCTGTGTCTTTTGATTGGGGCATTTAGCCTATTTACATTTAAGGTTAATATTGTTATGTGTGAATTTGATACTGCCATTTTGGTGCTAGTTGGCTGTTTTGCCCATTAGTTAATGCAGTTTCTTCATTGCGTTAATGTTCTTTACCATTTGGTACATTTTTGGAGTGGCTGGTACTGGTTGTTCCTTTCCATGTTTAGTGTTTCTTTCAGGAGCTCTTGTAAGGCAGGCCTGGTGGTGATGAAATCTCTCAGCAATTGCTTGTTCATAAAGGATTTTATTTTTTCTTCACATATGAAGCTTGGTTTGGCTGGGTATGAAATTCTAGGTTGAAAGTTCTTTTCTTTAATGATGGTGAATATTGGCTCCTACTCTTTCTGGCTTATAGGGTTTCTGCCAAGAGATCCACTGTGAGTTTGATGGGCTTCCCTTTGTGGGTAACCCGACCCTTGTCTCTGCCTACCCTTAGCATTTTTTCCTTCATTTCAATGCTGACGAATCTGATAATTATGTGCCTTGGGGTTGCTCTTCTTGAGGAATATCTTTGTGGTGTTCTCTGTATTTCCTGGACTTGAATGTTGGCCTGCCTTGCTAGGTTGTGGAAATTGTCCTGGATAATATCCTGAAGAGTGTTTTCCAGCTTGGATTCATTCTCTCTGTCATATTCAGGTACACCTATCAAACATAGATTAAGTCTTTTCACATAATGCCATAATTCTTGGAGGCTTTGTTCATTTCTTTTTACTATTTTTTCTCTATTCTTGCCTTCTTGTTTTATTTTATTGAGGTGATCTTCAATCTCTGATATCCTTTCTTCTGCTTGGTCGACTTGGCTATTGAAACTTGTCTATGCTTCACAAAATTCTCGTGTTGTGTTTTTCAGCTCCATCAATTCATTTATATTCTTCTCTAAGCTGTTTATTCTCATTAGCATTTTGTCAAACCTTTTTTGTCATGTTCTTAGTTTCTTTCCATTGTGTTAGAACATGTTCTTTTAGCTCAGAGAAATTTGTTATTATCCGCCTTCTGAAGCCTGTTTCTGTCAATTTATCAGACTCATTCTCCATCCAGCTTTATTCCCTTGCTGGAGAGGAGATGTGATCCCTTGGAGGAGGAGAAGCGTTCTGATTTTTGGTGTTTTCATCCTTTTTACATTGGTTTCTTCCCATCTTTGTGGATCTATCTACTTGTGGCCTTTGTAGTTGGTGACTTTTGGATGGGGTCTCTGAGTGGATGTCCTTTTTGTTGATGTTGAACTTATTTCCTACTGTTTTTTAGTTTTCATTCTAACAGTCAGGCCCCTCTGCTGGAGGGCCACACCAGACCCTGCTTGCCTGGGGATCACCTGCGGTGGCTGCAGAACAGTAAGTGTTGCTGTCAGTTTCTTCTTCTGTTATCTTTGTCCTAGAATGATACCTGCCAGATGTCAACCTGAGCTGCCCTTTGTGAGGTGTCTATCTGGATACATGGGGGTCAGGAAGCTCCTTGAGGAGACTGTCTCTTATAGGAGCTCATGTGCTGAGTTGGGAACTCTGTTGTTCCATTCAGAGCTGCCGGGCAGGTACATTTACGTCTGCTGCAGTGGAACTCATAACTGCCTTTTTTCCCAGGTGTTCTGTCCTGGGAAGGTTGGGCTTATTTATAACTTCCTGATGTGCTGCTGCCTTTTTTCAGTGATGCCCTGCCCAGCAAGGAGGTAGCCTACTCATAATCTGCCAGCAGAGGCATTGCTGAACTGCTGTGGGCTCTGCCCAGCTCCTGTGTGGACTTTCTTGTGGTTTTGTTTACAGAGGTATAGTTAGAACTGCCTTGGTAATGGGGATCTGCATCAGGAATACGGACTGCCTTGGTAATGGTGGACTGCCTCAGTAATGGTGAATTGCCTTGTTCATGGCAGACTCCCTCAGTAATGTTGGACTGCCTTGGTAATGGCGGACTGCCTCAGTAATGGCAGATTTCCGCAGTAGTGGTGGACTGCCTTGGCAATGGCGGATACCCTTCTCCCCACAGAGCTGGCATCCTGGGTCCAGCTGCGCTTTCTGCAAAACTCTCAATCCAGAGCATTTCAGATTGCTGGTCTTTGTGTGGGTGAGGACTGCCAAGCCAGATCACCTGGCTCCCTGTTTCAGCCCCCTTTTTTTTTCAGAGAATGGGCGGCTCTGTCTCACAGGCGTTCCAGGTGCCTGTTAAAATGGATGCCCAGATTTGTGTGAGTTCTTTTGCAGAGACCTGCTGCGCCAGCTGAAACAGCCATGCTGGAAACCCAGGATTCTCCTGGTCTGTGGTTAGTAAAAACTCGTTTGGAAATGTGGTGCTCACTCCCCCTCTGCCTTGTTCTTGCTGGGAACAGTACTCCAGAGCTGTTCCTATTTGGCCATCTTGGATCCACCCCTTTTCATATTTTCTAAAGCACTCTTCCAGCGTTTTTCAAAATGTGGCAGTTTTTATATATAATTTTGGCATTAGCTCTTAAACAGTTTATTGGAACTACTTCAATTTATTAAAACAATTTCCCACAAATATAAGCTATTTCAAAACAAATAGAAAACTCCTGTCCATGTGCTGAAGGTTGTATACATGAGGGCTCCGTCCCTCTTGAGAAAGGGCTTCCACTAGAAGAAGCTGATACTGGTTAATAGGAGGTTCACTTAACTGCCACATCCTTGGTTCTTACTGTCCACATCACTGTCATCAGCTTCTCCAGACCAGTCACCTGAACTGTCTTATTCTACCTTTATGCCCACCTTACCATTTCTTGCCTCTGCAGTTGCAGTCACCCAGCACTTCCTATTCCCAAGCTCTGTTAATTCCCAGCATCCCCAAGACATAGCTCACAATCTCTCTTCTCTAAGCAACCTTTGCAGGTTGGTAATGCGGGGCTTTAGTCATGTTGCTTCATATTCTCTCCTCGTTCTACTCAAAATAATCTGCCTCACAATCTGTTGAACACTTATAGGGCAGGCACTATTATTTTCCCATATAAAGGATGAGGAAGCAGCTGGTTAGGGAAGTTAGTACAGGTGGATGAAATATAGGTTATTGTTCTTAGTGATGGTGGCCAAGGAGATGAATTCTGTTTTAGGTGTATTGAGCTTGAGCTCCCTGGCATATCAGGTGTCAGGTTTGGTAGCAAGTGGACACACAGACCTGGTGGTTAGGTATTAGATGAGCACAGAGGCAGGGACTAGGTAGTGATGAGATCTGCTAAGGACTGTGTGTGGAGTGCCAAGTGGCAGGGACCTAAGATGCAGCCTTCTCTAAAGGTATGGGTTTTGTTTGCACAATCTTTCTGCATTTCTAGAACTCTCTGAGACCAACAGACATGGAAGGCAGTGATGCAAATGCCTGCCAGCTACTCTCCAGATATCTATATTTCCTGAGCCCCTGCTCAGGAAAGAGATGGATAGATGGACCCCCTGGAAACACAAGACACCACTTTGATTATGGGAACCTTGGAACATATGTTTTCTTTTCCCCCTTTTGCCTAAGTTAAAATCAACACTCACCTGAAAAATCTGTTTCAGGCTGTGCTCTGAGGGCATTGGGAGGCACAGCATGCTGAAGTGTCTGATGAAGCGAGGAGTCACAGGGTTGCGCCCACCGCCTGGAGGTGCACACGCCGATACAATTGTTACATCCTGTGTGCAGAGAAATCCACCAGGATCACTCAGCAGAGAACGAAATGAGACCTGCCTATCCCAATGGTAGGACTTCCCAAATGCCAGCATTGCATTACATTTTTTTTTGGTGTATGTTAAATGACTTAATTCTCACAATCACTCCAAGAGATCACTATAATTACAGGTGGGGCATGTGCAGGGAGCAGCAAAAGACCCGTGGATCAGAGCAGCCATTCATGGCCATATGTGGGAACCCCAGAGGTCAGGGCAAGGCATTTCCACGTGATTTGTTTGGCAGAGAGGAGCCACTGAGCGCTGGCCTGGTGGGAGGTTTGGCAGTCATTCCCTTTCCACCCTCATCCCCATGGCACTGAGTCAGGGGAATTCTAAACCTGCAAAGGGCACATGATATTTTCTCCTCACTGCTTTGTTGGGAAGATAAAGTTAGATAGACTTACTTGGAAAGTAAAAAGACTTACATGCAAAATACTTCTTTGTTTACAAAGAGGCCTAATTATATTCTCTTTTTAGGAATGGTTTTCCTGTTTAATACAGGCTCTAAATACAGTCTGGAAGAAGAAAGCTGCTAACCACTTCCCAAGAACTGAACATGGGTTCATCTTCCATCCGGGCTCCCTGTACTGGTGATCGAAGCCCCTTTGTCAGGACCTACTGACTGTGCCCCAACAGTTTTCACCTCTACACAGCTGGAACTCTCTCTGCAGTCTCCATTTATCCCTCTGGCTTGTACACTCATCTTATTTTTCACTTCAAAGAATGTTTATGCCTTATTTAAACTCTCATTTTGATAGAAAGTCCTCTACCTGGAAATTCCAAGGCTCTGGAGCTTAGCAAGACGGGCAGAGAGGAATCTTAGCTCAAATCACATATTCAGGAGCCAAATGGCCTGGGCTCTAATCCCAGTTTTGCCACTTACTAGTAGTGTGACCTTGGGCCAGTCATACAGCTCCACACTCTTGGCCTGTTTCTTGATCTATAAAACAGGGCTGACAGCATTATCCATCTTATAGGGATGCTGGGTGCCAGTAGGTGGGAAACACCTAGAATAGTGCCTGGTATATTATTTGTTTTTATCATGAGCAAAACTAAACATGCCCCCACCCTCTTCTTGTTGAGGGTGTTGGTTTCTGTTCTCCAGAACAGAAATCGGGCAGTCAAGCTAGGTTTCCCCTTCTCCCTCTTGATTCCATATCCCACCTGTGATGGTTAATACTGAGTGTCAACTTGATTGGATTGAAGGATACAAAGTATTGATTCTGGGTGTGTCTGTGAGAGTGTTGCCAAAGAAGATTAACATTTGAGTCAGTGGGCTGGGAAAGGCAGACTCCTCCTTAACCAGCCCTTAATTGCGGGTACAATCTAATCAGCTGCCAGTGTGGCTAGACTATAAACAGGCAGAAAAATGTGAAAAGAGCAACTTGCCTAGCCTCCCAGCCTATATCTTTCTCCCGTGTTGGATCCTTCCTGCCTTTGAACACTGGACTCCAAATTCTTCAGTTTTGGAACTTGGACTGGCTCTCCTTGCTCCTTAACCTGCAGACGGCCTATTGTGGGACATTGTGATCGTGTGAGTTAATACTTAATAAATTCTCTTTTATGTAGCCATATCTATTCCATTAGTTCTGTCCCTCTAGAGAACCCTGACTAATACACCACCAGTCCTGCTGATCTGCCTTCTGGCTTCTAAACCCTTCTGACCACACAAATCACCACAGGAGGCTTGACCCTCATCTCTTCTCCTCTAGGTTACTGCAGTTGCCTCTGGTTTTGCCTCCTCTTCAGCTCATCCCTCTCTTGCAGCCAAGGGGATCTTGCCATAACATTTCCTTCAGCAGTTCCTGAGCACTTACAGGATAAATCCAGGTTCTTCCTTCTGGGCCTGCAGTGCTGTGGGATGTGACCTCTGCCTCTGTTGCTTTGGTGCTCACATTTCACACCATCATGTATTTTACATTCCCCGCTTCTGGGGTGTAGAATGCTCCCTTTCCCTGCTTTGGCATGCATGCCTTCAGAATCCAACTCCAACATCGCTTCCTCTAGGAGGCTTCTCCCATCCTCAACCCAACCCCAACCCATGACTCTCTCCTTTCTCTCCCCTCTCATCACTATGCATTAGAAATATCTGTCCACCCTCTGAAGCTGAGCTCTCTGGGAGTCAGGGACTGTCTCACCTGTCCATGAATCTCTTGAATCAAGCATGATAAAAACTCAATATGGATTGAATGCATTGAATTACATGGAGGAAAAACTGAGGCCACATGTGAATTGTGTCCCCTGTCCCCAAATCATATGTTGAAGTCTTAACCTCAGTGTCTCAGAATGTGACTGTATTTGAGATAGGGTCTTTAAAGAGGTGATAAGTGAAAATGAGGTCATTAGGGTGAGCTCTAATCCAGGATGACGGGAGTCCTTATAAGAAGAGATTCAGACACAGACAGACATAGAGGGAAGCCCATGTAAAGACATAGGGAAAGAGTGTTCAGAAGAAACCAATCCTGTGGACACCTTGTTCTTAGATGTCTAGTCTTCAGAATTATGAGAAAATAAATTTCTGTTGTGTAAGCCACCCCATCTGTGGTACTTTGTTATGGTAGTCTCACAAACTATCCATCATATATCCTTGACGTTTACATTTAAGCACACCAAGTAATTTAAAAGCTAAAGTAACCTGTATTTCTTTCCAAAAGAGTTTGTTTCTGTCATAAAATCCCCCAAAATCTTGATACTGCCGAAGTAATTCTATCGGAGGCTGAGAGCCATAGCGATCCAGTCTGGGCATGTTTAAATCATCAACAAAAATTATAATTCGTTTGTTTCCTGGTGCTCCTGGGGAAAGAAAGTGAATTTAAGAATTATGCTTTTCCTTTAGGAAATGGAAGACAAGGCTGAGGTATGACTTTGGACTCAATGACATTCTGTAGGTCATAGAGAGCTCACTTCTGAGTCCTTCTTGGAGGAGGACAGACTTTCTTCTGGCCCCAGCCAGGTCCCTGCAGGGAGATGTGGTCCTGGTCAGGAAGTCCATAATGTCATGCATGGTAGCCCTCACCCTCACTGTCAGGGCACAAGACGGTGGCCTCTCTCCAGCAGAGAGTGAACCTTTCTCTGTTTCAGTCACACCCGCTGCCCTCAACAACTGTGTGGCTTGGGCATGAGTGAGGAACGTCATTTTCTTTCCATAGTTGGAAGAGGAAGAATGCCAAAGTTTCCTTTCATAAATGTCATCACACCACCCTCACAGGGAAAATAGGTTAGCTATTCAAAAGCATCCTGATCACATCAAAGGGAAATCCAGTGCAGTGGGGCCACATTTAAATAAATATACATACTTATTAGAAAAACGAATGAGTGTTAGCAGAGAAAAGAGAGACGTGATGGGCAAATAGCCATGTCCCTTGGTTAGGATAATTATGGGAATTGATTCCAAGGTAAACTGAGTGCTCCATTCCATCCGTGGCCCGCTGGAAGCCAAGTAACAGGACAGGGGGCAAAGAAGGGGTCTAAGAGAAACATTCATAAGGAGTTGGTGCCCCCAGCAGAAAACAGAATGACATCTGTTGCCCCGTGACTACTTGAGCAGGAGAGAGGGGACAGAGAGAGGAGGTGGTGAAGCAGCTAGTGGCACCGTTGCTTGACATGACAGGGCCTGGTAGATGGTGGGCAATATGGGAGGCAGCCAAGCCTGAAACCTGACTGGTGTGCCATCCCAGAGACTGCAGGCTGAGCAAGTGGGCCCTAGCTGCAAGAGCTGCAGGATGGACTACTGGAGGGTGAAGGCTGAGGTCCTGATTTCCACCCTCAGGGAAACTTCCAGTGGTGAGGCCAATGCCTGACCTGCAAACATCTCTTTTAGAGGTTGCTTACAAGAGCCCACTCCTGAAAGCCTGCCTCACAGACAGCATGGACACCACTCAGTGCCAGCTAGAGAAGCAGGGACCAGTCATGGAGAGGCCCATCTAAGCACTGGTTAGGGAGAAGACACTTGTCCTTTCCTTCTTTTCCTCCAATTTCCTGTGTACTCCAGCCTCCTACAGGGAGGGTAGGGCGAAGTAAAGAGAACCCCATGACCCCTTTACCTCCCATATGTATCTGCAGCCACAAACCTGGCTTATGACACACAAGAGGAGGTGCTTTGAATTGAGTATTGAATTGAAGCTTTACACTGGCCCAGACTGCAAATGTCTGAAGGTGAGTGACCAGGTTGTTATTTTTCTAAGCAGTTAATAAAGGAAGGTGGAGAAGTTACCAAAAAACCTGGCTGAAAGTACTGACTGAATTAAAAATCAAAACAGTCTCATGCCTATTCCTCACTGAGTTCAGATAACTCAATGTGCCAGATATACTCAGGTTTGTTTGTTTTAAATAAGGGGAAATCAGTACATGTTGGAAGAACCTGAGTGGAGAGAGATAGAGCCATGGAGAGGCAGATATTGAAGATGTTCTGAGTTGAAGGTGATGATAGAAATAAATGACTTGCTTGGTAACACTAAGACATCTACATAGCTAGCATAAATTGCCATAAACAGAATCATCTTTACAAGTAAATTAAGCAAATAAAATATCCAATTGTCATTTTATTACATGCACTATTTATGTTATTTATTAATTTAATGAATAATTTGTGTGGGACAAACTAAAACGATGATTCTTACCTAGAATATTTTTTCTTTTTCTCTCCAATTTTGACTCAATGATCTCTTGTGTTCTTGCAGATGAAGTTTGAGCAGAAAAATTCAGATAAACAGGGATATAGCCAGCTGATTCTTGAATTTTATTTAGCAATCCTTTTGTAATCACAGACTTAAATTAAAAATAAGTTAATTAACATCACATAAATATAATCTCTTTCAGTTGTCTATATCTGTAATAATTTGGTACCATGGGTAAGAAACAGGATAAAAAGAGGGGTTAAAGCCAGCTTAAAATGTCTGCTTTCTCTTACTGGAGATTCCATTTAGTTATTCTTTTCAGAACCAAAGAGATATTCTAATCAGCACTATCTCAGCAAAAAGTTTTATTTTAGTTTCATACCAAAATCTATCTTGGCTACTCTTTAAGCCAATTTATGGAAAGAGTCACAGAAAGATCCAAATTTCTTTTAGAATTTCTTTTTGGGGAAACAGTGAAGTCCTGTTTATGTGGATTCTCCAAAACATAGAAGCCCAAACCATCAATATTCCTCCTCCATTCTACTTTAACAAAAAAACCCAAGTAGTCAAGGATATCATTTTTGTATCAGGTAGAAATGAACAGGCAGGAGGGGATGGGCTGATCTCCATCAACAGTCTTGGGAATGCATACTCCCCTGGCCAATTGCCATCCAACCAGTGCAGTGGTAGCCCCCAAAATACCAAGAGATAAAACATAAAAGCCCCTAAACACAAATGCAGGCCTACAGGGCCCTCTAGTTCATATAATATCAACTCCAAAAAATGTATTCAGAAACCGGCAAACTTTGGAACAATTCCCAGGATCAATATAGATTCAGCATAATGTTCTTCCTAATAAAGTGCTAAAAGTTAAAAATAATTCCTCTTAGAATTAATATTACTTCTGGTGCTGATATTTCTATGTCTACCACACCCTCATTTTTGGAAAGAACTTCTTGTTTGATGTAAGTTTCCTACCTTGCCTACTCCAGTTATTCCAGTAAACAACACAGAATGCTTGACTGCCAGTAGTTTTTCCATTAAATATCCATAGCGTACTGTATCAGTTGTGGGGACAAGCATTTCAAAAAATGGAACATCTCGGTTGTATTTGAAGGTAGGTATGATTCGTTCCCAGGGATCCAGCCGTTTGGTGTCAAAGTCCACATGAATGCTCCACAGATCACCAGAACTGGGAAGCTAAAGTACAAAATTAAACACCACTTTCAATAGGCTATAGGCAATATTGACACACAGTAGTAGATACATTCACACAGAAACAAAGGTAGTCACAAAACCTAAATGGATTTGGATTTCTTTTTTCTTTGTAGAGACATAGTTATTTAGGTATCTGAGACTAGTTATTTAAACAAAATCATGCAACACAATGCATTAAAATATCTGTTATATTGATTATATTAAAACCCATGTCAGAATTGTAAAGCATTTTTAATTAAATTTAACAGTCAGGGGCTTATTCCATGCCAAATACCGTCTGTGATGCTGAGGATGAACGCTGAATGAGACCCAGCCTCTGTCTTCAATGACCTGGTAATCCCCCCTGGGGGACATAAGCACTTCAGTTAATACCCATGGGGAAATAAGGTCTCTAAAGGAGTTTATAACAATCACACACACACACACACACACACACACACACACACACACACTCACACACACACACGCACAGAGGGGTTGCTCATTTCTATTTGCAGGGAAGTTATGGTGATGGTTAGAGATTCAGGAAGGATTCCAGGGGTGATAATGCTACAGCTCAGACTTGAAGAACAAACTGGTGTCGGATGGACAAAAAAGGGATGGAATAGCGGTGGGAAAGAAGGGGTCAAGATTCAGACTGAAAAAACAGGATTAGAAGTCTGATGCCATGAGAGCATTGCATACAGTGAGATGAGGCTAGAAATACAGATGGGCCACATTATAAAAAGCTTTACTTATTAAAGATCTGAGAGCAACAGTTCAGTGAGGGATTCTAAGTAGGTAAGTAACATAATTAGATTGCATTTCAGAAGTTTCATCCTGGCAGCTGTACAGAGAAACTTCATGTTGCAATGGCAGCACCAGAGTTGCTTTAAGCTCATTTGACAGTGACTTTTAGTAAGAAATTAATTTTTCATTGACTCTGTAAATACATACATATGTGTATCTACAAACGTGTAAAATATTTATCCCTACTACGTGCAATTCACTCTACTTTCTATTTTTTTTTTTAAAACTCAAGGTATACATAATTTTTTTGGTCAAATTTTAAGAGTCCATTTTAGAGAGTTTTAACATACGTAAATGTTAATATAATCACCCTAGATTAAATCATAGAACATGTACAGCAACTCGGAAAGTTTCTTTCTTCTACTTCTTTGTCAATACTAGTTTGTCTATTTGACTGTACTCTCATCAATGCCACACTCTTAATTGCTGCTGTTTTATTGTCGTGAATTATTCAAGTCATGTAGTTTAAGTTCTCCAAATGTGTGTTCCTTCAAGATTATCTTAGTTATTATAGCTCTTTTATATTTTTATATAAATTTTAGAATGAGATTGTCAGATTTCATAGAAAAAATCTGTTGGGATTTTGGGATTGAAGTTGCCTAAAATCTTAAAAATATTTTGGGAAGAACTGATAAGTTAATAATAGTATCTCAATCCACGAACATAGTGTATCTCTCCATTTATACAGATCTTTTAAAATTTCTCTCAACAATGTTCTGCAATTTTCAGCAGAGGTCTTTCACATCATTCATTGATTTTATTCCTAAGTCCTTGGTATTTTGTTGCTTTTGTAAATAGTATTGTTTTAAACTTTCACTTGTTAACTATTTGTGGACCTTATATCCAAGGGCCCTACTAATTTCGTTATTAATTATAATCATTTGTAGATTTTTTAGGATTTTCTATATGTTCAGCCATTTTTTTCTGCAGGAAATGACTATTTTACTTCTTCCTTTCCAAAGTTTATATGTTTTATTTCTTTTTCTTGCCTTATTGCACTGGCTAGACTCTCCAATATAGTGTTGACAAAAAGTTGTAATAGAGGATATTTCCATTTTAAAAACTGGATTGTGACCCTTTCACTTGATTTCATGACCAGTTAATAGATTGTGATCTTTAATTTAAAAAATACTGGTAGAAAGGGTGAATTAGATAGGACTGGAGCAAAAGCAAAGGAATACTAAATAGGTTATTTTAATAGCCCATGGAAGAAATGATAAGAACCTGGGTTATCCAAAGGCAGCAAGGTTGAAGACAAAGAACATACTTAAAAAAATACTTAAGAAATAAAATTTATTGAATACTGAGATGTTATTATTTAATTTACATTTGATATTCAAATATTGCCATTTTTTCTAATAATATTATTTATAGCTATATTTTCCAAGTCTAAGATCCAATCCAGGGTCATGTACTGCATTTAATTATCTCCTTTTAGTCAAAAGTCTCTCAACTTTGTCTCTTATGACATAAGACATATTTGAAAAATATAGTCCAGTTTATTTTATAAAATATTCATTGTTTTGGGTTTTCTAGGTGTATCCTCATGATTAGATTCAAGTTACATATTTTTAAAAGAACTATCACAGAAGCAAGATTATATCTTTCACAGTGTCCCATATCAGGAGGCAGGCATAGGAATGTCTTAATGTTAATTAAGCTAAATTGATCATATAGCTAAGGTACTGTTTACAAGGTTTTTTTTTCTTTACTAAATACTTTGAAACTATGTAAATATTGCTTATCATGAAACCTCCACCCATTAGTTTTAGTATCCATTGATGATTCCCACCTAAATCAATTATTACAAAAATGGTTGCAAGGTGATTATCAGAAAAAGTTTTTCTTTCTTCCTACTTATTTAGTCATGCACATTTTTATTATGAGTATTATTATTAAAAGGGTTATGATCCTATGCTATGATTATTGATTTTGATGCTAAAATCTATCCAGTTTTGACCAGTGGAAGTCCCTTCAAACTTCCTTCTGTGTTCTTTTAACATGTCACATCATTCTTTGAGCACTTTTTTACTGTGTGACATACAATAGTTGTTTTCTATCTTCCCTGATCCAGTCTTGAAATCAACTATTTTACTAAGAATTTCTCATTTCCTTTAGTGGAGAATGACAATAGTATTTAAAAATAAGTATACTAGATATGCTCATTGCTGTTATCAAGATATCTTTATGTCTAGTTCCTCTCAGCACATAGACTAGAAAATTTATACACACACACACACACACACACACACACACACACACACACCAATTTTCATACATTTACTTATTTAAAGACAGAGTCTTGCTCTGTTGCCCAGGCTGGAGTGCAGTGGTACGATCACAGCTCAGTGCAGCCTCAAACTCCTGGGCTCAAGCAATCCCCTTACCTCAGTCTCCTGAGTAGCTAGGACTATAGGCATGCAACATGGAGCTTGGCTACTAAACATTTTTTTGTAGAGACAGGGTCTTGCTATATTTGTGCAGGTCTAAAACTCCTGGCCTCAAGTGGTCCTCCTAACTTGGCCTCCCAAAGCGCTGAGATTATAGATGTGAGCCATGTGCCCAGGCAATTTTCAAACATTTATATGTATATATGTTAACATTTTGAGTATCAGTGAGTACTGAGGCCTGCAATTCCAATGCAATAATACAGAGTGTATTCTAATTTTCCTCCTTCCATATTCGTAAATCCCTTCTCTAACGGTGAGAAATTCATTACCATTATTCTCAATACATTTACTTATGTAGTCAATCTTAGAATATACAGCAAGTACCATCTAGCAATTCAAAATAGCTAACCAATCAACCTGTGAAAAATAAATTTACTAACTAGAATTCAATATTTGTTTATAGTAGGGAGTTTTTATATATTTATACATCTTACTTTTTTTCATATGACAGGGAGAGTACTCCTAACTTATGAAATATGATAAATGTTAACTATGGTTGGACAAACTTGAATAATTTTAGGAATCAGCTTAGTGTACACATTACATTTTTAGTAGAACTAAAGCTCTTAAAGTTTTAACCTTAAAATTTAATTTTAATAATTCAGAATTATTATGTTAAAATACAATTTATTTGGTTCTTACCCTAGCATCAGGATTATCATCAAATTGTGTTCTAATAAACGTATCAAAAGAATCCCAATAGTGTTCAGTTAGGTTTCCACCCAAAGCCCATAAATAACAGAATACAAAAGTCTGACATAGTATAGTGTTCAGTTTTATTTGTTCCTGAAAGAATAAAGAGAAACAGAGTTAATATTTTATATATAAACATAAAAAGAATTTTAAGCTGCAAAGTGTTAAGATGTTTTTATTTCATTTAGACTTACATATTTTTAAATGGGCACAGTGTATGCTTCTTATGCTTCATTCAATGTTTCACAGAGTAGTGTTTTCTTATGGCTATATATTACAACCACTGATGAAAAATTGAATGAGAAGGAATATGTGGGGAAAAAAGTCCAAGCTTGTTTTTCAACCGATTGTTATAATTTTTTTAATGCCTGCATGAAGGTAAGTAAGCAGATTGAGAATATGTTGTATTGGGAATATGTTGTAGACCATAAGAGAAATCAAAATTGAGTAGTGGAATAAATTATATACTCTAATGTTCCTTCTAGCTTTGAGATTCTATGAATGTAATAGTAGCTATTAGTTCCTTGTAAAATTAACATAAAAATAAAATGATTATATTTTAGAATGGAGTCATTTCTTTGCAAAGAATTTATACAATAATCTAATTTTTCTAGCCTCATAGCAGTAAGAAGATGCCTTATACCATTGCCAAGTTAACTCCATCTTTCCCAAGTATCAGGGACTCCAATAAGCAACAGAGTGTAGTAACTTTGCTAATGTCCACTTGTGGAATTGCTTGGCCACACTTTTTATTGATAAAATGTAAACCTTCATCAACATAACGTTGGAAAAGATTCAATATATATTCTTGGGTTTCCTCATTCAGCTGAAAATGAAACAAATGATAGTTTAGCAAGACTTTATATAATAAAGTTTAGAAACAAGTTGGTTAAAATCTGAATATTTCTATATATTCAGTGACTTTTAGACCAAAGGCTATAACTATCACAACATACTAAACAAATTAAATTTTAAGAAAACCCTTTATGACTGGGAAGGGATACATGGGGCAGATTATATGTAGTTGATCATGTTCTATTTCTTGGTCTGGCAATTGATTCAAAGGTGTTAATTTCATAATTATTTCTTAAGCTGCCTATATATATTTCATGCACTCTTCTATATTGATGTTTTTCACCATTATTAACAATGAAAAAGAAGAAACAAAGAAGATAACATTTTAATATCAATGTAAGATAGACAAATAATTTCTAAAGATTTAAAAGTGAACTTAGCCCCTCTCACTACTCATTCAACGTTGTCCTGGAAGTCCTAGCTAATGCAATGGAACAATAAAAGGAAGTAAAAGGTATAAAGGTTGAGAAGGAAGAAATAAAACTGTCTTTGTTTACAAATAACATAATTGTCTATACAGAAAATCTGCCTAAATTGACAAAACAAAACAAAACTGAAACTCATAGGCAATCATAGCAAAGTTGCAGGATATGAGGTTAACATATACAAGTCAATTATTTTCTTATACATCAGTAAGCAGCAGCTGGAACTTGAAATTAAAAATATAACACAATTTATATTAGTGCCAAAATTAATTATAAATATAACAAAGTATGTACTAGATTTATATAAGACAAGCTATAAAAAGTAAAGAACTACTAAATAAATTGAGAGAAATATCACATTCATGGATAGGAAGACTAAATAGTCTTAAGATGTCAATTTTCCTTATATTATTTATAACTTCAACACAATTTCAGTTAAAATTCCAGTAAGTTACTTTGTGGATTGACAAACTGATTCTAAAGTTTATATGGAAAGGCAAAAGACCCAGAATAACCAACACAACAATGAAGAAAAAGAACAAACTTGAAAAACTGACACTACCCCGCTTCAAGACTTACTATACCGCTGCAGTAATCAAGACAGTGGGTATTGGTGCAAGAATGGACAAATAGATCAATGAAACAGAATGGAGAGCACAGAAACAGACCTAAGTAGTCAACTGATTTTGACAAAACAGCAAAGGCAACCTGATGAAGAAAGGACAGTCTTTTCAACAAGTGGTGCTGGAACAACTGGATATACCAAAGAAAAAAAAAAAAAAAAAAAAAAAAAAAAAAAAAAAAAAAAAAAAAAAAAAAATAGAATCTAGAAACAGACCTTAAACCTGCCTAAAAATTAACTGAAAATAAATGTAAAACACAAAATATAAAATGTTAGAAGATAACAGGAGAAAATCTACATGACTTTGGGCTTGGTGGTGAATTTTTGGGTATGACACCAAAGCCACCATCCATGAGGAAAAAAAAAAAAAAACCAGTAAGTTGGATTCCATTAAAATTAACTTCTACTCTGTGAAGGACGTTGTAAAGAGAATAGAAGATGAAATATTTATTCAATCTGAAGAGAAACCAGAGTATGGTTAAGAAAATAAAAGGACAAGCCATAGACTGGCAGAAAATATTTGCAAAAGATATAATCTGATAAAGAATTGAATTCAAAACATATGAAGAACTCTTAAAATTCAACAATAAGAAAACAAACAATCCAACTTAAAAATGGACTAAAGACCTTCCTTAATAGACACCTCACGACATATGATACATAGAGAGCAAACAAACATATGAGAATATGCTCAAGCCATATGTCATTAGAAATTGCAAATTAAAACAAGATACTACTACATGCACATTAGAATGGATAAAATCCACAACACTGACGATGCCAAATGCTAAGGATGTGAGCAACAGGAATCCTCATTCACTGTTGGTGGGAATACAAAATGATACAGCCACATTAGAAGATATTCTGACAGTTCTGTACAGAGCTAAACATATACTATATGATTCAGCAACCACATTCCTAGGTATTTACCCAAATATGGTGAAAACTATGTCCACACAAAAACCTGCACATTAATGCTTATTAAGAGTTTAATTCATAATTGCCCAAACGTGGAAGCAACCAAGATGTCTTTCAGTAGGTGAACTGGTACATGAACTGTAGTACATTCATACAATAAAATATTATCCAATGCTAAAAGAAATAAGCTACCAAACCACAGAAAGACATGGAAGTACCTTAAATGAATATTACCAAGTGAAAAAAGCCAGTCTGAAAAGGCTATGTACTGTATGATTTCAAATGTATGACATTCTGGAAAAGGTAAAACTATAGAGATAGTAAAAAGATCAGTGGTTGCCAGGGGTTTAGGGATGGAGAGGAGGGATGAATATGTGGAGTTTAGAGGATTTTTAGAGCAATGAAACTATTCTGCCTGATACTATAATGGTGGAAACACGACATTATGCATTTTTCAAAACATATAAATTGTACACAAAGAGTGACTCTAACGTAACTATGGACTTTGGTTAATAAGAATGTGTAAATACTGGTTCACCATTTATGCAAAGTGTTAATAATAGGAGAAACTGTTTGGGGGAGAGGAGGTACATGAGGACTCTCATTTCTGTTCAATTTTTCTATAAATTTAAAACTGCCATAAGCATAAAATAGTCTGTTAATTTTTTAAAAAGTGAATTCAGAAAAGTTTAAAAATTTAAGGTAGCCAATGATAAGCTCTCAATTCTGAGAATTACTTTCTATATAATAAGATACTCTGAGACTAGACCATAATATTCTTAAAATGTGGATGCCTAAAAAGGAGGAAAACAATAGTTTTCTGCCTCATCTTTGGAGGGGAAGAGGCAGAGAAGAAGATGGTTTACTCGGAGTAGGGGATGAGATAGGGGGAAACATCTCAAAGGACTACTTGTTAAGGTAAAGAGAAAAATTCAATGTTAGAATGGAGAGGCTACAGAAGGTAGTATGAAACTAAATTGTTTTGAATAATAATATATAAACTTTACTTCACTTTGGGTGGAATTATACCTCTGAGGCTAGAATGTGTCTTGGGTCATGAACCTACAATTGGGGTAGGATGTAAACTGCTTTTTCTTTTATCTTTGGTTGTTTGGGGCTCTGAAAATCCAAAAGCAATGACGGTTAGTGTCTGGACTTAAATATTCTTTTTCTTCATTGTGTTTCCCTCTTTCTACAAAGCTTTCATCAAAGTCTCAATGCCTCAGGCTGTTGTAGCTGTGTTTTTAGGGACCCAAAAAAGTGGCTTGTGTTTGTAGTCTGGGGAGAAGCCAGCCAGAATAGGCAGGAGGCAGGGTGAGTAGGCAGGCTGGCAGGCTGGCAGGCTGGGATAACAAGGAATGGGGACAGATTTGGGGAGTAGATAAACATTCCTGAAGGATTCCTGAATTCTTAGGGAGTACTAGGTAAATAATGAAGTCCCCTCAATCAAGAACAATGAATCCTTAACCTACTATTTGTACATCTGAAGGTAGTGTGAGTCCTGACAGATGGAGATATTGGGGAATATCTGGTTGCACTTACTTTTTCAGAAATACCTGTCATCCAAGTTTTAACATAAGGCATCCATTTCAGTTCTTCAGGATCCACAAACACCATTCCACACCGACTGACTGTTGCAGGGGAGGCAACCCGCAGATCTTGCACCTAAAGTTGAAGAAAGTTGAACAGGAAACAGCTAATATGATGCTTCCTTATTTATTCAACTTCAGTGTTCACACTTTTAAAATGATTCACACTTTTAAAGTCTAACTTAACACTGAAAGGCTTTGTGTGGAAGAGAGTGGGAGAGCAATACGTAATTAGAAATGGAAGAGGAAAGTTACATGAGGTATAAGGTGAAAAAAATTCCCACAAGTATAGGAGGATACTGTCAAATCCTATGAGCAGGAATAGGTATTTTTTTCTTTATTCTCTTTGCTTTTCTCTATTCTTTTCATTCCTGTGTTAGAATCCCTATCACACAGTAGGCATTCAATCAGTATTTGATGAATGAATATAGCACAGATGGTAACCTTCATAATGTTTGTAGCTGTGCTTGGTCCACATTCCTCTTCCAATTCCTCATCAAATATTCACATCACAGTGGGATAATTTATTCTTATTAAATATAATAATTGTTTAATTTGAAATGCATTTCAAATCTCTGTCTCTCTCTCCAAAGGAAAGCAAGTGCTAAGGAAGCCAGAATTTATTTTGTTCTTCCTATTTATAGAGACAAGAACATTTGAGACTTTGACTGTCAGGACTGATAATCTATTACAAAAGGATAACTTAATAAGTAAACAGAGAATAATAATAGACATTATAGATAGTAAAGGCTACATCAGTGTGAGAAAAAAAGTAATGATGGTATGCCAATTTAATGAATTATTTCACTCCACAGTAATGTGCACACTTACCTCAAAAAGCATGTGAATTTGAGGTGTGAGTTTAATCCTCTCACTGTTAGCCAGGCAAAGCATCTTGTTATCGTCCAGCACTGTATTCATGTTTTCAATCCAAAGAGCATCTACTGGCCCATCACTGATGATCCATTTATGGTCTTCTGAAGTATCATTCACAGCTGCTCGGACACTTAGTGCCATCAAACCATCTTTCCATTCCAAGGTTAAGTTATTAACTTCTCCATATAATTCACCCATGGTAATTGATTTAGGGTTGAGAACATATGTTTTAACTGCCTGGTAAAAGGGATTTTCTATCCCAAGTTTTTGTAAATTTCCTAAAGTTTCTGCTAGTACTCGGTAAACTGTGGTCTTGCCACCGCCTGTTGGCCCAACTAACATAACACCATGCCTTACTAGCATAGTTTCATAAAACTGTATCACTTTTCTAACCATACACATCTCAGGCTGAAGATTTTGTCCATTCATGACATCCACAATTGTTGACTGTAAAATACCATAATCATGTTCTGGAATTTGGACCCCAGGAAAAAGATCTGATATGATTCCACTGTCAAAACAAAAATAAAATTAATTAGAAATAACTGGTCATTGATATTTCCCCATATTTGTTACAATAAATGAAATATTATGAGTCTTATTGTTTCTCATTGATCTTTCTCTTCTGAGCATGTACAGTATTAGTTTGTCCTACGTGCTGTACCAGAATCTATCATTTGTCTGATATTACATATGATTTTGTTTGTTTCCTGTATAGTCGACCAATGTTCTTAAGTATATTAGGAGCTTTTTGGGAGTAAGCAGTATCTCTTATGTTTCTTTCTGTATTTCCCACAGTACATGGCATATACCAAACATATAGGTGATGAACTTATTTTTATTTAAAAAATTATAAAATATCTCATTAAAAAATTTAAAATTATTTGAAAATTATATTTTAGCTCAATTTTTCCTAAAATCACCTACATATACTGCTAGCTGTATGTGAATATTCAGAAAAATAAGGTGAATATACAAATAAAAATTAGATTAGGTAAGAAAGGGAGGAAGGAAAAATGTGACTGTTTCTATACGGAAAAAAAAGCTAAATCTTTACCTCACATTATATACACATATACATTTGTGACACAGTTAAAATCTTACATAAAGCGATGAAAGTACTAGATGAAAGTATAAGAGATAAATTTTGCAACATTGTGGTAAGGTAGTCTTTCTAAGAAAGGCAGGAAATCTATAATTGTAAAACAAATGTTGACAGAGTGAAAAATAAAAACAGACAAACCCCAAACTTCTGTGAGATAAAAGGATTTATATACAAACTTACAGCATGAATGAGAGACTTAGAAAAACATTTCCAATGTTTATGTCAAATATAGGTTATGAGTTTCTATAAATCAGTAAGTAAGAGTATAATAGGAACATGCTTCAAGAATAATAATTATAAACGAATAATGAACATAGAAAATGATGCCCAATGACACTAATAGTTAAAGAAATGAATATTAAAATAGGCTACTGCATTTGGCCTCTCTTTAAAACACTTATGGGAAAATATGCGCCTTCATAAAATCACTTATGTAAATGTAAAAGGGTAAGCCATCTTTGGAGGACAACTTGAGAGAATCCATTTAAATTAAAAACGTGCAAACCCTATGACCTAGGAAACTTGCTTCCAGGAATCTCCCTGTAGAAATATCATACATGTGCAAAGATATATGTATAGGAATGTCCATCATTAGAATAGAAAACAATTAGGAAAAATCTAAATGTCCATATATGACCTTTCACATTAAAGTAGATCTGTAGGTTTACTATGTCTCAAAGTACAATCTTATATAATAGCAATCTAGCAGCTGTTAAAAAAAAATAGATTCATGCATATATACTAACATGACAAAAAGATGCTCATGATATATTACCAATTGAAAAAGCAACAGCTGTAAACATACAAATGTATTAAAAGCAATACATGAAAGTGCCAACCAACTTCTTTCTCCAGGAAGAGAGAACAGACTTACTTTTCCCTATTCCTTCCATTAAGTACAACTAAAACCCCTGTAAATTATGTGTAAGTAAAATAAAGATAAGAAGACTCTGAAAGGTAGAGAGAAAGCAGACTGGCTAGGTATCTTAAGATGCAAGCAATAACATTGTGATAAGTCCCTTGTGTCCTTTTGTCTTTTATATCCTGGCAATCCAGAAATGCCAATGGGCACAGATTTTTTTTTTTTAAAGCCCCAGGAAAAGCTAACTGTCTTTATTCAAAGGACCGAGAAGGGGCAGCCCAGCAAGACAGAAAACTTTGAGGCAATAACTGCTCTACTCTAACCAAACATCACAGAAAAATCCTGAGCTATTTATTCCCACCCACACCAGCAGAGACTGAATGTGGAGCCCAGACTTCCACTCTAGCTAGGGTGTAACAAGTTTCCCCAAATTCCTCTCCTCATTTTCTCATGGTGTTAGAGAAAGCCAAATAGGGATACAGCACTTTCATCCTCACTGGGAGGTAATGATGCCCCCTTTGGTATTAGTGGAGACCATATGGGAAGCTTGGACTTCCAGCCCCACCCAGGAATAATGGAGCATCCCTCCCTCTCTCTGATGGGTGGCATCAGAGGAGGATCAGTGGAGTGTCAGGACTTTTACCACTGTCCAGGCGTAATAAAGCTGTCTTCCCCTGTGGCATCAGTGGAGGTCATGTGGTGAGCAGTAATAAGGCGCTTCTACTGTTCTATCCAGAACATTATCACGGGACGACTGCTGCGGGAGCTGGAACTCCCACCCCTACACAGCAGAAATGACTGCTCCCAACAGATGTCAACAGAGGTTGAATTCTATCCCCATCTGGCAGTAACAAAGTTGCATTTCTAATTTCTCTTGCTGGTGTGGCATCAGGAAAGGCCAGCTAAAACAAGTTTAAATAAGATCTAGAGTCTCATGACATAATGCCTTAGATAAGTAGGCTTCAATAAAAATGATTCAACATATCAAAAGCCAGAAAGATCTCAAAGTAAATTAAGAGAGACAATCAACAAATGTTAGCACTGAGATGAGAGAGATGTTAAAACTGTCTGACAAATTTGTTTTATTTCTTAAGGGATAGAGTCTCACTATACTGGCCAGGCTGGCCTTGAACTTCTGGGCTCAAACAATCTTCCTGCCTCAGCCTTCTGACTAGCCAGGACTATAGGTACATGTGACTACACACAGGTGAGATCATTATCTTAAAATACACATTGTAAAAATGTTTTAAGGACCCATTATGAACACATTAGAAACAAAAGAATATAAGGACATCTCAGCCAAAAAAAAAAAAAAAAAAAAAAAAAAAAAAAAAAAAAAAAAAAAGAAAAAGAAAAAAGAAAAAAAGAATATACAAAGAGCCTATTTGAAATTTTAGAACTGGAAAAATATAATAACAAAACAAATCAATAGATGGTTTCAAGAGCAAAATGGAAGGGATAGAAAAAAGAATTGGCAAACTGCAAGACAGAATAATAGAAGTTATCCAATCTGAACAAGATAGAGAAAACTGTCTGAAAAAAGAAATGAGCAACCTTGGGGACCTATGGAAATATAACAAAAGATCTAACACTTGTGTCATTGGAGTCTCAAATGATGGGGAAAGATGAAAGAGCTGAAGAAATATTCAGAGAAATAATGACTGAAAATGTCAGGCATTTGCCAAAAATCATGAACCTGCAGATTTAAGAAGCTGATCAAATCTCAAACATGATAAACCCAAAGAAATCCATGTGAAGACACAACATAGTCAAACTTCTAAAAACGGAAGACAAAGAAAAAATATCTTAGCAGAAGCCAGAAGAAAAAAAAAAGACACCTTACCAACAGGGAAAAAACATAAAATGACAGCAGAATTCATGCAGGCTGACAGGGAGTGGTACAACACCTTTTTAAAAAAATGTTTTATTTTCAGTTCTGGGGTACATGTGCAGTTTTGTCACATAGGTAAACATGTGCCATGGTGGTTTGCTGCACCTATTAACCCATCACCTAGGTATTAAGCCCAGCGTGCATTAGCTATTTTCCTTAATTCTCTCCCTTTCCCCGCCCCACCCACAGGCAGGACCACTACTCCGTACCCCCCACCCCCGACAGGCTCCGGGCCCTGCTCTTCTCCCTGTGTCCACGTGTTCTCATTTTTCAGCTCCCACTTAACAAGCGAGAACATGCAGTGTTTGGTTTTCTGTTCCTCCATTAGTTTGCTGAGGATAATGGCTTCCAGCTTCATTTATGTCCTTGCAAAGAACATGATCTCATTCCTTTTTATGGTTTCATATACATGGGAAGTGGTACAACAGCTTTCAAGTACTGAAAGAACTGTCACTCCAGAATCCTATTCCCAGGGAAAATACCCCGCTGTAATGAAGGGAAATCAAGACATTCTCAGATGAATGAAAAGTGAACAAATTTGTAGCCAGCAGATCTGCCACAAAGAATGGCTAAAGGGAAGTTCTCTAAGCAAAAAGAAAATGATGAAAGAAGCAAACTTGGAGCATCAGAAAGGAAGAACATGATAAAAGTATCAGTTCCTATTATAAACATGGTATTACCATTTATTGTGAAACTTAATCATATATTTATATATAAGCATCCTTCAGAGATGTTGGGGGTTCAGTTTCAGACCACTACAATAAAGTGAATACAGCAATAAAGCAACTCATATACATTTTTTTGTTTCCCACTGCATATAAAATTTATCTTTATGCTATACTGTAGTCATTTAAGCATACAATAGCATTATGTCTAAAAGATGTACATACTTTTATTTAAAAACACTTTATTGTTAAAAAAGGCAAATGACCATCTGAGCCTTCGGCAAGTCGTAATCCTTTTGCTGGCAGAGGGTCTTACCTTAATGTTGATAGCTGCTGACGGAACAGGGTGGTAGTTGCTGAAGGTGGCAGTGATTGTGGCAATTTCTTAAAATAAGACAACAATAATGTTTGCCACATTCATTGACTCTTCCTTTCATGAAAAGTATCTATGTAGCATGTGATGCTGTTTGACAGCATTTTACCCACAGCAGAACTTTCAAAATTGAAGTTAATTCTCTTGAACCCTTCCACTGCTTTATTAACTATATTTATGTAATAGTTTAAGTCTTTTGTTGTCATTTTAACACCATTCACAGCATCTTCACTAGGAATAGATCTCATCTCAGGAAACTATTTTCTTTGCTAATCCATAAGAAGCAATGCCTCATCCATTTAAGTTTGATCATGAGATTGCAGCCATTTAGTCATGTCTTCAGGTTCCACTTCTAATTCTGGTTCTCTTGCTATTTTCACCACTTCTACAGTTACTTCCTCAACTGAGGTCTTGAATCCGTCAAAATCATCCATAAGGGTTGGAATCAACTGTTTCCAAACTCTTGTTAACGTTGGCATGCTGTCTTACCATGAATAATAAATGTTCTTAATGATATCTAGAATGATGAATCCTTTTCAGAAGGTTTTTAAATTAACTTTGCTTGTATCTATTAGAGAAATCACCATCTATGGCAGATATAGTATCACAAAATGT